ACCAACGACGGGTCCCACCGGTGGTATTCAAAGGCCAACTCAACCAATTCCGAATCATGGTAAACATCCAACGGAACCGACTCGGTACTTGATGAACTTGCCACCGCCATTCCCTTCCCTTTCGGCGCCATCGCACGATCGAACAGAATACAAAAGAAATGACAAAAGAAATTGAAGAAAAAAGCTTACCGAAAACGTCGCACGCACACAGCACGCAGGAAAGATTCCTCAGAATTTCAGATGAATTCAAACAACAAGTATAATATCAAAGCTCGAGGATAAAAGCAAAGGTGAAGAAAACCCGATCAGATATCGCTAAACCCTATTTATAATCGTCGATTTGTGATCGTTGAGTATCTTCATTGGGGGCGCGTCGAACCGACGCGACCCCTAATTCTAACCGACGCCACCTCTTCACCTGATAAAACACCTACTACTACACGTGGATACCTATTAAAGTCGACCGTTACCTCATTTAAGACCATTACGGCGCGACCGTTCGGTCCAAACATTTAATCGTTGACCGTTACGACTGTTCACCTTTTCTGTCACGGCTGCTTGAAGATTATCCAAAATTCACCAAGTGTCTTCCCCTCGGAATACAGTCTACACTTCGGACAGATGACTCACTTCGGTTACATCGGACTCGGAAGACCGAAGACGACCCTCCGAAGATCATAGACCACGTCCTACCGCCGACTTCTTACCGATCCAGGGTCTCTAAATGTCTGGCATAGCAACATCAACGACCATCACTCCGTATGCCCATCAATGTTGGGGGCCTCTCTGTTATCATCCGGATCGGTAAACCTGCATTAAGAGATTCCAAACGACACATTAAACGGAAGATGATCATTGAACCGATGTAATTTCAAACACCACCCCGGTTCAGGCGACAAACCGGACCGAACTACCGAAGACCGAAGCGGTCAACATCTGCCGAGGTCACCATGAACCGAGATCGTCACCTCCTTAAGCAGGTGACAAGGTGCCTACGAACAACCCTCCTGCTCCACAAGATCCGTCATCATTTATGTGGGACCCCTTGCTGCAAACCGCCCACAAAAAGTCACTTTATTCGAAAAAATAATGCACAGATCCCAATGTACCAACCCGAAAATACTATAAATAGCGGACCCATGACATTTGTAGGGGATCTCTCTCCGAACTGAAAAACTTTACTAAGCAACACGTAAAAGCCCATCACGGCTCTTCACCTCGGTTCATCCCGGACCGAGGTCATTGTTGATCTAATCCTACATGCTTTACGTCCAAATCATTCTAAATTACCCACTTAATCACACATAACATCGTTGTTAAAAATCGCATAACAACATTATAAATAATAGAAAATTATAATAAAATTATTTAAAATATATAAATAAAATTATATAAAATAATATAAAATTATAGAAAATTATAAAAAAAATTATAAATATGTAAATAGAGTAATTATTATAAATTGTATAATATTATTAAAATTGTTTATTATTAATTATTAGTTTAATTTGTTGATTTAGAGTGATGGATCTGAGCGAGTTGTGGAGTTTGGTCAGCTCGACGGTTCTGGACAGCGACACACGAGGAGTCGGTTTGTAGATGCCGACGTTCGTCTGGAGAGGG